GCAGACTCCATGTTGAGCACAGAGCCTGACTTGGGGCTTAGTCCCACGACCCGGGGATCATGACCTGAACCAAAACCAAGAGTCGGACACTTAACTGACTGAGCTACCCAGGTGCCCCCTGCAATTCCTCTTAAGTGAATATTACATATTTTGGATCTGTCCTTATATTGTTTATTGTCCTATAGCTTCTGTCTTATATAATTTCCTTTTCTATGTGTTTTTGGAGAATTCTTTAAGTTGGAATTTGCAAATTTATTTTCCAGCAGCGACCAACCTATTATTCAGTGCCTCTATTTGGTTTTTATTTTTGGCGTTCATATTTTGCTTTTAATTTCCAAGATTTCATTGTTTTTTTCAGAAGTTCCCCTCTTTTTTTCATTGATTGCAGTATCCTCTTTTTTTTTTTAAGATTTTATTTTTAAGTAATCTCTACACCCAGTGTGGGGCTTGAACTCACAACTCTGAGATCAAGCATCACACATTCTACCATCTGAGCCAGCCAGGCACCCGATTACAGTATCCTCTTAATTTCATTTGGACTCCTGCATCTCTTCGTATGTCAAGAGTGTTTTGGTCATCTATTACTGCATAATGGTACTTCTCGCCCCAGCCCCCCGTCCCATTTAATGGCTTATAACAACAATTTATTAGTACTCACAGTTCCATGGCTAGGTGGTTCTCTCACTCATGTGGAAACATTCAGCTGGTGGCTGGGCTGGGCTGGTAGGTAAAAGAAGGTCTCTCTCACATTCTAGGGCCTTGATGCTGACTATCAGCCAGGACACCTTAGTTTTCCATGTGGTCTCTCTCTTCACTTGGTGTCTCAACTTCAGGGTGTCCCCTGAGTGACTTCTCTCCCAAGCATGATAGCTTGGATTTCCTTACAGCATGGCCACTGTATTCCAACAGAGGGAGAGAGGAAGCTGCCAGTCGTTTCCAAGATTAGGTTCACAGAAGGCATAACATTAACTTCTGCTGCATTCTATTGTCCAAAGCAAGTCTCGAGACCAACCTAAGGGGGGGTGGTGGTGGAATGGATTCTCTTGAATCCCCAAGAGATGGCCACCATCTTTAGAGATCATCTCCCAGATTTTCCTCAAAGTTTGCTGCATTAAAGCCGTAGGTTTATCAGAATTGTTAGCTTGTATGGGCTCTTTCAGCAATTCAACGAATCACTGCCTCCTAAACAATAATCAGTGAGTGATGAGGAGTTCATTAGTCAAGACCAGAAACCACACAAAAAGGAGACTATAGTGAATTTTAATAAAATCACAAATTTAAAAGGGTTCTGATATTATTTTCTTCCTTCTTTTGTGAAATTATGGTGTTAGTAGGTTTTGGAAAACAAAACAAAACAAAACAAAACGCTCTTTACCTGGCAAAATAGAATACTGGCCACTTTATATTGGTCCTTCCAAAATTACTGGCCTTTAAAATCCCGGAGCCTGGTAACAACCAGGATTCCTTCAGTCTTGCTACTCCCTGTTCTTTGCTCCCCTGCCCCCTGCCCCCCGCCATGGTTCTTGTAAGTGTCCTGGGAAAAGTCCCATTTCACTTAAGGTATTTTTTTTCTCTAGGTGAAATTGGTGTTTGTATGGCTCTGATGGAATTCCTAAAGTTTTAGTTTTGTTCTCTAAGTCATTTCTAGGGGAAAAAATCTGCTAACTGGCAGAGAGGTTTCTTCTCCAGTCTCTGAATTACTGTGTGGTTTTTACCGCTGTACCTGATACTTTTGGAGGTCTAGGGGAAAAGTCTGCCAAGGGGCATGTCTTTTTCTTCTCGAAGCTCATCTTAAGTTCTTGTAATCTTGGTAAAATTAGTGAGACCCTTCTAAATTTTCCTTTTACTACCTGCCTCACCATCCTATGCTCATGAGCTAGAAAGCATTTTTCACTCTGGTTTAAATTGTTTTATATTTGGAGTTCTACTTCAGGTATTTATTTATTTATTTTTTTAAAGAGAGGGACAGGGGAGGGGCAGAGGAAGAGGGAGAGAGAGAGAGAAAATCTTAAGCAGTCTTCACGCCCAGCATGGAGCCCAATGAGGAGCTTGATCTTATGACCCTGAGATCACGACCTGAGCCGAAACCAAGAGTTGGACGCTTAACAGATTAAGCCACCCAGATGCCCCATCCTTCAGGTATTTTAGTATGAGGTAGAGGACATCCTTATTTTGTAGTGATTGAATTTTTTTCAGCATACTTTTTTTGGGCTCATTTTGTTGGGTGTCAGAGAGTTCGTGATGGTCGTTGGTTTTCGTAAATTTCCAAAACACATTGACAAGGATTTATTGAACACCTTTTAGTACCGATGGCATAAAGGGTATATGAAAAGAATCTTTGAAGAATGAAATAAAATTCATGATGCCATTGCAAACAAATGCATCCATTTTTGTAAGGGTAGATTGAGAATGTGAGAAGTGGCTGTTCCAATACCCCTCTGCCCCTGTGTTTCCCTTTTTCTGTTTTTTCTCTCCCTTCTTATATCTGGGTCTCAAGATGTAGATGAGTGTGAGGTTTCCGGCCTGTGCAAGCAAGGAGGACGGTGTGTGAACACTTATGGAAGTTTCGAATGCTACTGTATGGATGGATACTTGCCAAAGAATGGACCCGAGCCTTTCCACCCGACCAGAGATGCCACGTCATGCACAGGTGGGTTTCTGCCAAAGAAGGGAGCTTTCTGAATGTGGGATTCTGTTCTCAGATGACTTTCTCCTGCTCTGAGCCTACGTCTGTGGGGTCTGTGTTGGGGATATGAGTGGAGATTATCTATCCTTTGTGCATCTGTACAACCTATGAATATTACAAGATAGAAGGGGCTGGCTATCTCATATTTTTTTTTAAAAAAAGCTACAATTAGTAAACTTCTGGGATTTTTAGTAGTTAATAGATATTCTCCTATTAAACCTGATTTTAGATAGTAAACATAGCTGCCCTGGTAAGGACCAGCAGCAGAAAAGTGACTCTGAAAACTACAAAGCCATATATATCTGAAGGTATTTTGCAATTCAAATTTTTTACTTCGCTGGGGTAGGCTTCTCTTTAACTAGTGTGAATTAGTGAAGGTTGACTGCCAAATCCCATCAGCTTTGTGCGTGTGTAGATGCTATTCCTATGGAAGGCCAGAAGGTTGAATAGAGACAATCATTGGAAACATGCCCAGAAGTCAAAATGGAAATGAACCAGTCTATGTAAAATATCGCTCAGGTGTGTGTGGAGGGAAAGGGAATGATGGGGTAGGGGTGGAGAGAGATGATGAGTTTTGAAAATTCATATTCACATACTAATGAATTTGACGTTAATTTATTTTCAGAAATAGACTGCGGCACCCCTCCTGAGGTCCCAGATGGCTTTATCGTCGGAAATTATACTTCTAGGCTTGGCAGCCAGGTTCATTATGCTTGCAAAGAAGGATTTTTCAGTGGCTCAGAAGATACAGTTTCAAGCTGCACAGCCTTGGGCACATGGGAGTCCCCAAAATTAAATTGCCAAGGTGAGTTTTCAAAAGGTTCAGGTTCCCAGCTTCTGGCATTTTGAGATTGTTTTCATAGTTCTCTCTAAATTTCTCTTTAGGGTAGTGTAGATCCAGTAAATTCATGTTGTCCTTAATAGGAATTCAGTTGATTCTCTTGGTATTTTCAGGAATAGTTCTCATCTGCAAATCATGATTAATTCCATCTTTATTTTTCTACATTTATAAAAGTTAGGTTTCTCCTGATTGACCCACTTGGTTACTATTTTCAGAACAACAATTTAAATAGTAGTGTTGACTTTGAGTACTCTTTTCTTAGTCATGACTTTCATGGCAATGGTTTTAGTTTTTCATTACTTGTTCGTGGTCTTGGCTCTTTGATGTTATGGATATCTGCTTATATTCTTATGCACACTAATCCAGTGCTATGTGCCAAGTGCTGTTCTAAGCACTTACCTTACAGGATCCCTATGAGTATGTACTATTATTATCCCATTTTACAGATGAGAAAGGTGAGGCATGGAGAAATGAAGTAATCTGTTCAAGGTCATACAGCTAGTGATAGAGCCGAACTTGAACCCAGGAATTCTGGTTTCAGAGGTTGCATTCTTTTTTTTTTTTTTTTAAGATTTTACTTAATTATTTATTTATTTGAGAGAGAGAGAGAGAAAGCTCATGTGCATGCATCGGGACGGAGTGGCAGAGGGAGAAGGAGAGAGAGAATCTCAAGCAGACTTCGTGCTGAGCTCAGAACCTGACTTGGGGCTTGATCCTAGGACCCTGTGATCATGACCTGAGCCAAAATCAAGAGTCCGATGCTCAACCAACTGAGCCCCCAGGCGCCCCTGGAATGACATAATCTTAAGGAAACCTCTACCTATTCTCACTTTACTAGGGCTTAAAAAAAAATCAGAAATGAGTTACTTTTATCACATCTTTTAGACATGTGTTAGAGTGATCATATGTTTCTGCTTTAAACAAGTCATATGGTAAGGTTATATTATTAGATTTTCTGATAATGATCTTACATACTAATATTTGGAATGGAGTCTTCTGGGTCTTTGGTTTTTTATTCTTTTTATCTGGATTATATTTGCTAAATTTTATTTAGAAATTTTACATTGATATTCAGAAGTGAGGTTGGTTTATTTTCTTTTTTCTATGCCATTTTTGTTGAGCTTGGTGTCCGTGTTATTCTAAATTTTAAAAAAAGAATGTGAAAGAATTTCTTTCTTCTTTCTCTGGACTACTCTAAATAGAATTTTTAAAGGCTTGGGAGATTTCACTTGCAAATTATCTGGATGTGGCTTTTTTGGAGAGGTAGTCCTTGGGCTATTTTAAAAAATCCTATACTTACTGGTCTAAGTTTCCTATCCTTTTTGGTGTCCATTTTGGTAATTTACATATTCCTAGAAAATCATCTATTTTATCCAGATTTTCAAACTTATTTATGGAGAGAAGTAGAAAGCACTCATATTTATAATTTTCTGTAGTTGTAGTTGTTTATAAGTGAAATATTGGAAACAATCCCAAATGTCTGTCAATAGGAGATTGGTTAAATAAATCATGGCATATACATGAAATGGAATATTATGTAGCCAATAAAAATACGTTGGAAAATAATTTTTATTGACATAGGTTAGCCTTAACAGTATATTACTGAGTTATCAACTATATGAATAACATGACATTAATTTTGAAAAAGCTCATATGCACATATATGCTTACAGAAGTTTAGAAGGTGATACATCAAAATATGTTTACCAGTGGTAACTTCCATTGGGGGGGATCCTGGATGACTTTCACATTTGATATTCTTTCTGTACTGAAAGAATTTTAAACGCATTAGACAAAGTAACAAAGCTATTTCCATTTTGGAAAAAAGGAAACAATTTTCACTGAATTTACTGCGTAGCTAGGAAATCTCAGTGATGTGCTTGGCTAAGTTAATTCTTGTGCTGTTCTGATTTGCGATTCAGGCTCTAAACACATTTTAATAGTTAATTATCATCCTGGGGGTTAAGAAATTCTAAAAGTACATTTTAGTTCTCACATTATCTTTCAGTGGATCAATTAAAATGCAGAACTTAGATTAAAATGTGCCATAATGCATATCAAAGAGCTCCCTAAGGATTTATATAGGAAAACCCCAATAAAAGAGTTTGTGTGACTTCGAGAACCAGTAGTCATCTGGATTATTGGACTGAGAATGGAGAAAGTTAATTTAGAGGAGAGTACTTGTTACATTCCCCAAAGAACTGTTATTTGGAAGATCTTCACTTCTTTTTTCCCTCCTCTAATAACTGCTCCGTCTGCCTGCTGACACCCTCCTCCTCCTCCCCCACGTCACCACATGGCCACGTCTCAAGGCTGTGTCTGCTCCTCTGAGCACACCCCTTCGTATTTATCCTTCATCATCCTGGGGCTCCAGAAGCCGGGCCACACGCCAGCCGGCACGGTATTTTCAGCCCGGAGGTATAAAGCCACAGGAATTGGGAATTCCGCTAACAACACTAGCAAACTGTGAACTTGGATGTTGCTGAGGAGCAGGTCCTTGGAAAGGGAGCAGCTGTGTGTTACAGACCCAGCTTTGGTGTCCCATTTCACAGACTGCCCTACCAGAGAAGGTGCAGTTGGTGGATCCCGTTGTTTGCCTCCTCCCTGATTCCCGGGTCCCTGGAGGCTGTGCCGCCATGGCCAGGACCCCGTGACATGGGTCCCCATCTGAGCGGGCCTCAGAGTTTCTCCTTTGAGTTGGTTAATGAGGATGGGCCATGGTTTCTAACGTCTACTAATAGCAGAGCCTGCTTCTCTAAAGGTGGCCAGCGCTTTAAGGTTGACAAGGTTTTCTGTAAACATTGTCTCATCTGATCTTTTGAAATGCCTTCTGAGGTGGTTAATAGGTTGTTTCTCATTTCACGTATATTCTATTTACAGCGAATAGTGGGTATTATTTCCCATTAAGAACCAGAGAGAGGAGGTGACTTACCTCGTGTCACTAGTTTATGTATCAAGATGAGGACCCAAAGCACTTTCTAGAAGGCAGATTCCATGTGGAAGCAACCCTTGTGAGTGCTGGAGGTGGGAGGCACCGAGGAAAAGCTGGAGGGCCTGGGAGGACACGGTTACACGGTTACACAGCGTGGTCCGGGACCCACCCCGAAGAATATGTATTGTTGTGGAGTCAATTCTTCACCTTTTGAGGTTCTCGCAGTAGAGCTCCATCTCATCCCTGCCAAGTTGAGCATGTTTAAAAAAGTTTTGACCTAAGTTGGAACACAAATTAGGGCATTCAGGTGAGGGGCAGCGGACAAGGTTTGTTGCACTGCTGTCTCGGAATTTTCAGTCGGGCTGTGGAGAAGATTCACATCGAGAGCTGGCAGGAGAGATTGACGCGTGGTGCCTGCCGTGGGTGAGGGTGGACACAGTGGCAGCCCACATACCTTGTGTTTATCTTTTGTGTTCCGGGCAGTCATTCGAAGCAGATTTTTGGGCACCTCACCACATACCGATCTTTTAAAACATGTAGGAAAACTGCATTGATTTCCTGGCTGCATGCAACAGATCTCTTGTGTTATCCTTTTGTCGAGTAAATGCCATTAAAATATGTCACTTACAAATGGTTGGAGTCACTGGCGTGTGCAGGATGAATGATGACCCTAGTTAGAAGACTGCCGTGGGGGTGGGGAAGTGGGAGCCTTAGAATCAGAAAGACTTGTGTGAGTTTTGGCTGCACCACTTGGGAGTTCTGGAACCAGCCCTAACCTTCTCTCAACTCCAGTTTCCTTCTGCAGAAGGGGATAAGATTGTTTCCATCCTGACAATTTAATGAGATAATGATAGAAAGCACGTGGTGCTGTGCTTGATGCAAAGTAGCTGCCTGATATGTATTCACCCATCATGATAAGAGGGTCATAATCTAGCGGGGAGTGTAGGTAGTGTCCCTCTAACAAAAATATAAGATCTTTGTGAAACCTCCCACCATAGAAGGGGAAGGTCTAAAATTCTCCAGCTTTCACGTTACCTCGTTTATTAGTTTTCAATCCAAGTATTCTGCTTACCAGTAGAGCATTAAAATGAAGAGTTTTAATGTTATTTTTTAGAAAAAAAAGATTCATGTGCCAAAGCGTCAACAACCATTATCACCTCTACAAATGGAAGATCCTTATAAGAGATTACACTGATAAACACTTTTTTTCTTTCCAGCTCTCATGCTTTCACCTAGCCTGTCACCCCTACAGTTTCCGAAGTCTTCAGATTCTAGCTGTATTCATAGTAGACGCTGTTTGTTGGCAATAAGTGTTGTTACGTGAAATGGAATTTTTTTCTTCTTCCAAGTGAGCTTTCTTCTGTGAATATGATCTGAAGGAAATGTATTGTTTTTCGAGGCTAAAGTTCATGGAAGACTTGAAGATACAAAATACATCAAAAAGTTATGATTACTATTTTTTTTCTACTGCCTTCAGGGCGAGTGGACTTTTTTTTTTTTTTAAAGATTTATTTATTTATTTATTTGAGACAGAATGAGAGAGAGAGAGCACATGAGAGGGGCGAGGGTCAGAGGCAGAAGCAGGCTCCCTGCTGAGCAGGGAGCCCGATGCGGGACTCGATCCCGGGACTCCAGGATCATGACCTGAGCCGAAGGCAGTTGCCCAACCAACTGAGCCACCCAGGCACCCCAGGGCGAGTCGACTTTTTGGTACTAATGAGCTCATTAGCTTAGTTACCACAGTTAATAAGCTATCCTTGAGAACGTGCTTCATGGCATGGTACAACCCTCCCATCTTCCTCTGATGATCGTAATAAGATTTTTTTTTTTTTATTCTTATGTTAATCCCCATACATTACATCATTAGTTCTAGATGAAGTGTTCCATGATTCATTGTTCGTGCACAACACCCAGTGCTCCATGCAGAACGTGCCCTCCTTTTTTTTTTTTTTTAAAGATTTTTTTTTTTTCCAAGATTTTATTTATTTGAGAGAGAGAATGAGAGAGAGAGAGCACATGAGAGGGGGAGGGT